GAAAGGGAGATATTTGTATCGACAAAATTTGTGGCCTGCCTCATCATCTTTTGACATCGCAGTAGAGACATATCTCCATAGCTGATAGCTTACGTCACAGGTCGTATATTAGACGGGGTATCAGGGACTGGTGCATTTTTAATTCTCTGGACAGATTGTCAGTTTGGCCCTGAGCTTCCAAATGCACAAAATTACATGACTCATTCAAATTGCAAACATAAATTCACATGACCCACCMATTCTTATGAAACAAAATACTATATTTTCAAAATATCGCAATTTARAATGTATTCATAGACCATATGAAAAAGGGAGTGGCTATCGTAACGCCTTTGTTGATAATTTTTTATCCGTTGAAAGAACATATTATAATAATAAAGACCTCAAAGTTTGATTGCTCTAACATTCAAGGACCTGAAATTACAGGTGTTTGAAACTGCAAAGACTTTAAAGTGAAAATCAGCATTGACGCAAGCCTTGTTTACATTTCAAATGCTCGTAACTCCGCTGATATTCAACATTTCAAACTAAAACTCTGACAATTTACTAGTTTAGATGTATTCTTTTTTATGATAAAAACAGATTTTGAAAAAAAAAACATTTAATGTGCTCATTCTCAGTCTTCTGCTCGTTTTTCATATGGTCCATAGTTGACTGATWTCATACTTAAACAYTAGAAAAACCTGAACGGGATGAATGGGATGAAATAAAAAAAGGAACCCTTAAAAATTTTGTGAAGCCCCTCAGTAGAGAAGAGGGCTGTCCGATCCCATTTTCCAAACTAATTTTTTTGTCAAAATTCCATTCCCATCCCTCCCTTCTAATATATTACTGGTCCCTTAGAGCACTTTGTATTCCAGCAAAACTAAAGTACCGCYTATACTCAGCAATATTACGCTTTCAGTAGAACACTGGTCAAGCATTGAAATCTGTATTTGGGATCGAAACCACAATGACCACCCACAAGAGCTTAGAAAGAGCACTACTCCATGAGTGATGTTGATGCGAGTTATGAAAATTCTAAACTAAAACATTACCTGGTATACCTTTGTTTTTAGGGGTGTTTCATTAGAATTTTGAGAAGATTGGAAAGTTTTGTCCCTAAGGAATAATTTTTTGGGGGGACTTCAGGCACGCGCTTCTAATTGTTTCGGTAAATTTACAAAAGGTGTTTTGCCGTGCAGAAATTCTTTTTTTCAAAAWATTAACAACACTGTCAGTAATGAAATTACATTACAACTTTTTATTGCTAGTCTCTGTGTAATAAACCTCGACAAACACTTAAAAAAGGWWATTTTGCTTTTTCTCATACTCAWAATTATAGTTATGTTGAAACTTTCAATCACTAACACGTGAATTCATCACACACGATAAATAGCCCGTCACATGTTTTTAATGATAATAATAAAAAAACTGACTTAAATTCCTTTATAACGTTTGCGCTTTTACTTATTACCATATTTACTGCTTTAAAAAGCTGTATTTTTCTATAGCAGTCATGTAGAATAATAATATAGTTTCATTTCGAGAATTTTTGAGTGGCCAACTATTGGAATGATCTTCACAGAAACCGTCAGAAGGAAATATGGGGCTAAAGACGTCAAGATACAATCGCTTTTATTGTTTGAAAGTGTCTAATTACTTCATTTAATTCGATCAGATGATATATTTGGTTGACTTCGATGTTTGAGAAAAAAWTTCATTCGAATKATGTATCTGAGTAAATGTAAACAAACTGCTAATTTGCATATTTCAAGTMAAAAAATCGTGATATTTGATCGCTCCTATCGCACTACCAGTGTAAAAACCCAGAAATATTTTTCTAYCTAGGTTTATAKTGATATTTCAACCTCATTCAGGGTGAGTTTGGTAAAAATTGGAGAATGGCCACATGGAGAAAAATGTGTTCGGAAATTTCAACTCAAATCAAGGTTTGAAAACCGGCCAGCAAAAGTCATTTTTCCTCCCCGTTAAAAATACATTGAAAAGCCAATACCGATTCCGGGCAACTCCCTAGGAGATATTCTTTCGGATTATGTAAAAAAATTGCGCAAAAATGTTTAAATTGATTGAAGAAATAACTTTTAAAAAGCTGCAAGTTTTAGCGGTCTCTTATGCTAATTTTAGACCAAATCGGGGTAAAACCAATTTTGCTCAAAAACTCAAATTTCTCAACGTAGATCACAAAACTGATTAGACCACGTTAGTAGACTCACAGAAAGGTGTCCAGGATCTGGGTTTCAAGGAATTTGAAATTTTCATTGTGGCCGGATATTTTCGATTTTGCTCGATTTTTCTGGACAGTCGCTCTTAACAATTCCTCGAATAGTACCAATCATAAAATGCAATTTTCTCCGAAGTATTTCTTTTAGCATAGCTACACTGAATTTTTGAAGTTCTTCGCTGCGCAAGCTGTCGCACAGACAGTATGTGTCAAAATDAATAGGGTGCCTTGGCCCAAGCTCTGCAGCAAGCTCATCCAATAGCCTCAGCCGTTCATCTTCTTCAGCTTCTGCGATTGCTTCTTCAAGATCTTCTAGGTCTATATCTTTGTTGCTCTGTTTCCTTCTAGCAGAAGCCAGTCGAGAAAATAAACCTTGGACCTGACTCTTTTTAAGCCATTCGCTTCGACTAAACAGTCGGGATCCATCRGGTGCTCTAGCAGTTCGCATATTAAGTGCGACTTGGGCGGGGTCCGATTTTTTTCCTGTTCTCTCACCAATGTCAAATCGCTTAGTTAAGTATTGCTTAACATTTGTCGAGAAGCGAACTGTGCCTGCCTTGGATTTGTGTAGTGCCCATCCGCTATTCAAATCACAGTTTRCCTTTGCTTGCTTTCTTGGCTCAGGTGGGCAAGGTGCTTCAGTACTACTGGTAGGTCTGGTAGAACCGCCATGTGTGGTTATGTCAACAGATTGAAATTTGGCCGCCCATCCTTAGGCTATCATAGACCGTGTGTTTTTCTTTAGTCTTCTCTGTCACGTGATCACCAACATCTAAGTGACTTTCTAGCTTGCTGAATGATTTAAATACCAGTTTGCAGTC